TATCAGGAGTGAATAATAATAGATATATTATTATTCACTCCTGATAATATGTACGAGCGTTGATGCCATAATCATGCTAAAGCCTATTGTAGTGCAGGAATTATGCAAAGAGTTGCGACTCATTCACTGTTTTTCTCCTCGTTTTATTTATGTCGTGCTGCTAAAATCACTGCCCAAGCATCTGAATTTTATTTCATGTTTTGTGCTTATTCCTTCTAACTTTTCATAGCAAGTAGAACTTATTATAACGTAAATTGTATTGCGCTTGTATTTGTCTGTGAGCTTGCAATTTTGTTTTATATAATTTAAATGTTATGTAATCATGTTGTGAATAAATTAGACCCGATGCATTTAGAACACGAATGCGCATTATTAATTTATATGTGCCGCATAAGTTTTTAATGGCGCATACTTTTAATAGTCATACAATAATAAATGTTGCAGTTAATAAAGTTTTAACAGGTGTTATCATAACATCACATTATAAATCCTTGACGTAGCAGAAAGGTATGTACAGGTCACCGAAAAGCCCTTTTAAAAAAGCTTGTATTGTAGTTCAATAATTGCCCTTCAATGCTGACAATGTGCCATATTTATTATTTTCCAATTGTTTAAAGTGCCATCGTACACAAACCTGGCAGCATGCGAACTTAAAACTGCATGCAAACTTCGTACAAACAAGATGACACTGAGACCACAATAACAATTTATACATACTTTTAACACAACAGACCGACACCCATCACTGTGTCACCCTACTGGCACTATGTAGAGGGTTCACCACCATCATAGGAAAGCATAAAACAAGCTTAAACCAACATTGTATACAGAAAATAGTTTTCACGGAGCCTGTCTGTCGACATCGATTAAAATTTTTGGAATGAGTTGGGTCTAACAGACGACTAACAGTTAATTCGGTACCTCTAAGTTTACCTCTACACGTTTGCTTATGCGGTGACCGCGCGTACAACCCTGACGACAGCTAGCTTGGCATCGCAGGGGCTGGTGCTGCTGTGCGTTGGCCTCACCGGTCTACTACTTTGGGTTAGCATGAAACCGCTTGCTTGTGTCGCGTGCGTGGTCCAGCAGCAACTGGCAGGGCTTGAACTGCGGGCCGTAGAGGTCGGTAAACTGCTGCATGCGTTCTACCAGTCTAGCTGCTCCATACCGATCGACAAACATGAAGGGGCCTGCAAGACAAACATCACTCTGCTGAGAACTGCGCACAAGTAGCGTCGATCAAACGAAACAACGCTCTGTGTTACTCCACAGAGGTGCTGAATGCCGAATAAAACGTTAAATATAATAAAAACGTTTGTCTTCCACTAACAGGGCACCCTATGCATTTAGTGCGACTCCACGAAGGCGTTTGTGTTGACAAGTGGACATCTCACCTCCGTGGAACGGCGGGAACCCGAGGCCGAACACTGCGCCGATGTCGCCATCTGCTGGTGAGTTGAGTATTCCCTCTTGCAAGCACATGACAGCTTCGTTGACGAACCTCGACACCAATCTCAGCTGCAAGTCCTCATCTGTGTTGCTGCAACGTGTTAGAGAGTGTTAGTGTCAGAGTAGAGTTAAACGAGGAACTGGCATGACCCACGTGCACGCTGCCACTTCATGTGGGGTGTTACTAGAAACAAGGAATAACTATAAAACGAACCGGTTCTATTACCTGCCCGTCGGCTCAATGTAATACTTCTTGAAAACCTGCCAACAATGATCACGGTCTGCACATGGAACAAAAGAATGGGTACATAGTATCAGTTACAATCCTCTATCTCCCCTCAAGTCTTTGGCGCGAATAGAATGACGCGAATGTCAATAATGTGACAAAGACTGAACAATCCGAAATAGTGCAGTGAACAACAAACAACTGGCATGAACGACGAATCTTGTGAACAAAACTATGAAAAATCCATGTATCAAAAGTCAAACATCCGTAGGAACATAAACACAGGAACGGGAAAAACATTGTCAGTTTGAATGCTGAGATCACATGAAATAGTCAGAGTGCCAAGCAGGCTACTTGGTGCGATGGGTAGAGCGTCTCGGTGCTGTAGCAAGAGGGCCAGCCGGAGGGGCACTGACGGGTGCAGGATCTGGAATCCGGCGAGAGATTGCCGGGGGTGCCATGTTGGTTGATGTCGTTGCTGGTGAGTCATGTACAGTAGAGGGGACAACAGCAGGGAGAGGGGAACGTCTGTCGGTAGAACCATCATCGTCCAGCTGGGGTGGCAGAGGCATGTTGGCAGGCGGCACGGTGTTGCAGTGAGGAACGTCAGCAGAGCCAACGGAGCGTGGCGAGCGTGGTGCCAGTCCTGCAGGGCAGGAGAGAGGCATGGGTGCCGGTCGGCGACGAGCATGGATGTCGTCCTCCATTGTTGTTGGAGGTGAAGGTCGTTCATTCAGAACAGGAACATACTTCCGCAGGAATTTCCTGTTGCGTAATGTGACTCTCCCAGAGCCATCAACTCGAATGACGTATTGGTCATATTGCCGAACCTCGACCACCACCCCGGTTTTGTCCCACTTGAGTGGATGCAGCCCCGTCTGATTTTGAATGCGGACGTGGTCACCAACGGCAAGGGGCAGGAGTCGTTTAGTATGTTCAGACCAACGTTCCGCATCCCTCATGTGGCGGTTGCGAAGTGCATCTTCCCGAGCTGCCAGGGTCTCACGCCATGTGTTGTGCAGTTTGTATTTCCCAGGAGCAATGGGTATAAAGTCTTGAATCGGGCGGCCAAAGACACACATGGCTGGATAGAGCTTGGGGTCCCTGTCAGGAGTGTTCCTGTACTGAAGCATAGCACGCTGGAAGGCATTAGTGTCTAGGGCACCCGTGGGGCTGGTGTTGGACATGATGAGACGTTTGACGGATTTGACAGCGACCTCAGCGCGGCAGTTGCTATGTGGATAAGCAACGGAGGAGAGTCTATGATGGATGCCCCAGTCCTGGAGGAAGCAGTGTAGTGACTGCCGTGAATTCCGGGCCACCATCCAATGCAAGTTCATCCGGGATTCCGAAGGTGACAAATGTCCGACGTAGGCATGAAATGAGTCCAGTTGCCCCTTGAGTGGACCTCTCAACAATGGGCCAGTTTGAGTAGCGATCCACTACAACCAAGTAGTTGCAGCCCTTGTAGTGGAAGAAATTTGCACAGACAAATTGGAAAGGGTAAGCTGGAGACAGCAACAGGGTTGGTGGTGCGCTCGGGTTGGAGGGTGCAATCCGATTGCATTGGTTGCACCGTGCACGGAGAGCCGCAATGGCAGGAGAGATGCCTGGCCAAAAGATTGAGGACTCTGCCCTGGCAGTCATAGAGGTGACTCCTTGATGCGCAGCATGGAGATGGGCCAATACTTCCTCCCGGAGAGATGGTGGAATAACAAGACGGTCCTTGTAGAGGATAACCCCGTTAACTGCAGAGAGCTCGTCACGGAATTGGAAGTATTCACGTTGGAGTTCATGGCGGAACTCTGGCATGCCAGCTTCGATAGTGCCAAGCAGTGCCTGCATGTTGTCATCACTAGCTGTGGCAGTACGGACTCTGTCCCATGGGACTGACTTCAGGTGGAGAAACCCCAGGGCACACATAGCAGAGGAGAGTGTGCAAACTTTGATGGTGTCCTCGTGCGGGCCAGCGTGCGGAGGCCCGCCATGAGCGATGTGGAGTGCAGGAACGTGGCAGGTATCGAAGAGATCGTCGCGATGTCATCGGGAAGGTACAACCTCTCAGGCGCACCAGTCGGGTGTCGAGAGAGGCAGTCTGTAGCACGGTGTCTGACGCCTGGGACATGGGTTTTCTCCTTCAAGTTCTTCAGATAGGGGTTAGGGATGTCCTGTAGGGAATGGTCAGCGAAGATCTTGAGGAGGGGCTTGTGGTCGACTGCTATGATGAGGTCCTCGCACCCCAAGACGAAATACCTTGCCTTGTCCAGGGAATCAACTACTGCAAGTGCTTTGCCTTCCACTGGAGCATAGCGTGTCTCAGCAGCATGGGTGAACCTGCTGCCAACGAGAGTTATCTTCCAGCCTGAGTTGCAGCAGAAAGGTTCATAATTTTTGCAGCCACAGTGTTTCTGCAGGAGCCAGAAGCCAATGCCATTCTTGGACCAGTCTGTTGCAAGGCAAGTGGGTTTGCTGGGATCAAAGATTCTTACGCCTTCTTTTATCTCACTAGCAATAACAGCTTTGGACTCGTCGAAAGCGCGCTGGAGGGCATCGGTCCATACAAACGGTATGCTGGGCTTCAGGAGCTCGTGGAATGGTAGCATCTTCTCAGTCATGCTGAAGGCGTAGGAGACTTGATTGACCAGTCTGAACCATGAGCGGACATCTGTGACGTTGGTGGGCATTGGGAAGTCAAGTATCGCCTTTAAGTACTTCTCGCATGGGCGGACGCTGTCTGGGGTAATCTCAAAACCAGTAAATTCCACAACATCTGCACCAAACATTAACGTCCTGGGGTTGAGGGTGATCCCGTTGTGGCCGCAGATATCTAGCCATTCGACAGCATGGAAGTCTTCTAACGTGTCAGCCCACAGAAGGACGTCGTCAACACATTTTGACTTGTTCTGGACACCCGAGACAATCTCGTCATATTGCCTGGTGTATCCATCACCAGAGGCAATGTACCCCTGAGGGGCTGTCTTGTATCGGTACCTGCCCCATGGAATGATGAAGCTGGTGAGGTGTCTGTCCTCTAGGCATATGGGTACGCTATGGTATCCGTTCCATGCGTCGAGTCCTGTCTTTTTCTTCCCGTGAGGAACG